TTACCACCTTTTACGAGAACAGAATTGGTTTTGGGTAAGCAAAAATCTGATCTGATTGCAACTCGTTATCGATCGGTCGTGCGCCACGCACGGATTTTCTCTTGTCACAGTGTTCGTAGCTGAGTGAAATCAATCGGAGAGAATGCAATGGTTTTTCAGTCTGTCTGGTCGACTGGATAGGTCGTTGGCCATGTTTGCATAATGCGCTAAGTACCATTAAGCCCGTCCATATCATCTTCTCTCCACAACCTAGAACATTCGGATTTTCGTAAGCGATCTGTCCACCGAGCTTATCATCAACCTTGATGTGGTGCGCATACAGGTCCTAAACCGTCAATCTGCGTGCAGAATTAGTGCTACGTGCTATGAATGTCCATTTTGTATTCAGCCGCCACTGGACTGCACTTGACGTACACGAAAAGACTGAATCCTACTGCGTTGTGGTGGTTTGTGCACCTACATAACCCATTGGATTATACTGGGAGGTCACATGTGACACCCGAATGCCTGACTAGACAACCGATAAAGGTCTGACCAAGGCAGTTTCCTGATCGTCCAGGTTGGAACATGTGTGGAGACTTCCTCCTTGAAAATGTAGGCTGTCCTGACGGTCTTATACCAATCACCACTGCCTTGTTATTAGGCTTTTGGGCCAAAGACTAGTTGAGCCCCCTAATAGCCTTCTTATCTATGACTGAGTACTCTGGCAGTATCTCCGCTCACGTAAATTGTAAATTACACACTTACGAATAATTTCACCGGCCATCGCGTAGTGACATCAGCCGGGTCGCCTCACTCACTGCATACGACAGAAGAAAGCGAAAACGGTCTACTGCTGAAGCCTCCCTTCCGCCTATTCGTCCTTCTACCCGTCGCTATCTTCTCACAAGCGACAGCTTCGCAGGCCTATTCTTAGGGATCAACAGATTTCTCCGCTGTTCATTACCGTTGGCTGTGATACTTACAGCTAATTCGACAGCTACGGTCGTAGGTATTTCACTATCATCCTGCAATCCCCGATGCCTAGTCTCTCTACCAGCCTTTAGCGTTCGCACTATGAAACAAACCGGACGTACAGCTTTTGAGCATGCCTTCAAGAATGTTACTGAAACACTATGAGTATCTCGGAAGTTGCGTTAACCCTGAAGCGAACGCTTGAACATTGAAGACCACAATTGCATTTGCCTATTTGTATCACTTGTGACATCAGAAAGGAATCTCACTGGGTCTCAAAGGAGCGGACTGATTTGTGGGATACATTGTTGTACCGCTGCCAGACTTGGCCACTGCGCGGGGAGTATGAGACATCTTCGGGGTTTTGACCACCGATGTCTCAGAACTATAGCTGGAATCAGTTAGAACCAGGATTTTGGGATGAGACGATCAGGAAACGGGTCTTTGGTGAAGCAGAAGGCATTTCATTAGGAAAACGCATCAAGCACTGCAAGCTGAGGTGATTGGGCCATTGTTACGGACTGCTGACAAGAGTGTTGTTTTCCGCGTTTAATTCGGAAACCTGGAATTAGACTGAATATGACACGGGAGAAAGGAATGCAGATTACGGCAAGTTGGTGTTGTTCGCTTACCCAAATGGGCTTGGTTATCGTGACCCTCTTCGTGTTTGGCTAAGACACTGAACGATATGGCGGCTAACCGATATCAGTGGCTTTCATGCTGTCGGCTTCTATCCAGATTATCTGACCGAGTGTTAGAGGTTTTGGCATTTCGGAAGTGTCTTGTAGGTTAGCTCTTGGCCCCTCTCCCCTGTCAAATTTTCTCTTTTTTCCATTATGTGGCTTCATTCAAGTAAATCGACATAGTTGTACGGCAGTCATCCATGTAGCTGTCAACGATGATGATGACGGCGTGCGTGATGTTTGCGGATTGAACCAGTAGTGCTCCGAAATCATGACTGGGTTTCCGACCTTCATTATCAATGAGCCATGCTTTAGATATGGGGGAAATAAAAGTTTGTGTAGCGCATGAGCCCTAGTTGTTGATAGTGGATGCAGGAGTTACTTTTGACTGCAGAAATGCAAAATTGGCTTTGTTCCGGAAACAGCCTGGATAGGGTTTCAGAAAAACGGAGCGGATACTACCAACTTGTCCTACCATGGTGAAACAAAAAATGACGAGGGTTGATCAGAACCCAATAGGGCCAAAAAATCTGCCTTATGAATGAAGCGAACTCGTTGTCTATCCTATCTCTAAACTTTACTGGTTTTCTAAGTTTAATTACCACCTTCTTTTACTATATAGATATGGTGCATACCCGCCCCGTGTAATATCAAGTGGAAACTTCAGCATAACAACTTTCGATATATGTGCTGGAAAATAGTTACGCAGCAGCCTTATAACGAGTGCATGTTTGATTTTATTACTTATGTCTATCGTATCGTCCTTGACCGTGGCCAAAGGTAGTCATTTTGAGTACCCTGTTAGAATGCATGAAGCCGGAACATCGAAAGTAACGTTAAGGTCAGGATTGAATGATTCAGCGGAATTGTGGGTGAATGTACCAGAGGATTATCGAAATGATAAAAAATACCAGTTTCAAACTACAACCCGGTTCACCCTTGGTTCGTTAAAGGTATTTCGTTGACCATTGCCCTGGTATCTTATCATATCCCAATCCTCCCAATTCAGGTTACTCTCACAGTGCTCTTCACATTTACTTTCCGGCCCTTGAGCTCCCAGTATCCCGGCAGATCGCTAAAATGTACGTTGCTGGGGTTTGGCTACATATCCTGTTTGTGGTCCTCTTGTCTCCTGTATCGTATCGCTATTCCTCACATCACCTCTTCCTATCCTTGAATGACTAACCTGTTTCCTTTTCAGTGGAATGAATTCACAGCAGCGGAACTGACTAATTTCCTTCGGATTCTAGACAAGGAAGAATCAGAGTATAAGAATGCGATCCTTCACCAATACGGTATGCTAAAGGATCAGGTGGAGCGGCGCTTGAATGAACTGGATCACTCGAAACAACCGAAGGTCCCAACATATGGTCGGGCGTGTGTCTCAGATCATCCACATGCCTTTGAACAAGGAGAGGCGTAGTTTATGTCCACTCACTCCAGTGATGAGAGACATCACAACGCACCTGCCAGTGGCATCTGATTTTGAATACTTTTGTATAAAATATGCGACATCCAGTCGTATAGTTTGAGCCGTGGCTCGCTTCGGGATTGAGAAGCCTCTATATTTTTGTCGCTGCATCCGCTGTCCTTCGTACTCGATGCGGACATTGCCGTCGAACTTTTCTATCTGTTTTTGATTTTGATTCATTTGCAACATGGTTTTCTATTGGTTGTCACACGATTTACTGTGTTGTGCAGTTGGCAGGATGATCAAATCCTTCAGCTCTGTGCCTGAAGCTGCTGTTCATATATTTTCTCTTAACGAGTCTCATTTAAGCTTTTCTTCCCTATCAATCTGCAGCTACCTTTTTGGAGTTGATAGCATCCCAGTCGTTCACGGCATTCTTTTTGAGGTGCATTGAGGTTACACGGAATGGGAATCAGTGCTGCTTTACGAAATACTGTCATTTGGAGTTGGGTTGGGACAGGTTCTCGATCAAGTGTGTACGTAAAGTTTCAGTATGTGGGTGTATTCACTCAAACTGTGTGAGAGAACGACGGATCAGGGTGGTCAGTGTAAATTTGAGATTGATGATCGTCCAAATGAGTCGTTTAGTGATTCAAAATCATTCTCTGTGACAGATGTATTGTTACTAAGTTTAGAACAGCACGTATGAGGATATTTCCATACACCAACCATATAATGTGGATGAGATACCACCAATTTAGATTTGTCACACCCTGAGGTTGGGAACCCAACTTACGTTACTTTAGTAAGCTAAATTTACCTGATTGAAGGAAACAACGTGAACCCTACCCGTACACACGCCTTGACAAGACTACAACTGCATGTTTTCCACGTGCGCTGCAAGTAGTGTTGGGGATTCTCCTCGATAGTCGTTTACATTTTTCTGAGTTCGTGCTTGGATCAGTTGGCTAAAGGATGACAGTTCCCTGATTTTTTCTGATTGGGTTTTCAACAGCGGACCGCAATAAGCTCTGTTGATGATTCTTCCTTAGTCCTAATTGTGCTTGTGTCAACTCAGTTGGTCTAATGCTGCTGTGCACCAGCTCCGCTCCCTCGGTTCTAATGTTTTATTCACCCTTACCGATTTTTCCGACTGACATACCAGTCGTAGCTGTGTGAATCGTAGCCCCCGTCTCAGCGTTTCCTCACCTACCAGATCTATTGTGTCCCCTGTTTAATTCATGATTCGCTCTCGCTTAGTCATTAATCATCGCCTGATCTTCATCCCTATTGTTAATAGTTTGCTTATTCTTATCTTGTGATCACAAGCTCTGATGTATACTTGTTAAGTTTGTCAACCGATATGCTGCAGAATATCGTACTATCTGGGAAACGCATGTAGGATTATGTAGTGTTCAGGAATAGATGCGATGAAAATCATTCGGATATGGAGACAATAACCAACATGGTAGTAGTAGGCGAGAATGAAATCCGTATCACGAAGAGGAATACAGAATATTCTACGAACGAATGAGATGCGAGGTTTCCACCACATGATGATTCATCCAATGATTGCCTTTTGGCCAATTGACGATAGGATCTGTGGTCCAGCGAGGATATCAGGTGGAGCTGTTCTGGTCAGTTTATCTTACAGTCACGGAATGCCCACAAAAAGGTCGAAAACCTGATCTAAATAAGCGCCAGCGAAAGTAGTTTTTAAAAGGTGATGGTCGAATGGAGAAAAATAAAAGTTGCTCCTTCTGGTGTCCACCAGAAAATAGAAAGGTACTGTACACTGTTACGAAGGACAGATAATCTACGCCGGAATCGAAAGATCAGGAAATCTTTTACGGAAGAAGTGAAGTGGTACAACAACCGTGACAGTTTACATCATTCCCGGTTGATAAAATCCGCAGTATCATTTCTGTTAAGGAGGTTCATCGATCGGTTATTTATGAAAATCTCAATGAAGCTGGAAAACCTATCTGTCTGTCGTTCAGCTGTAGCACCCTTTCGGTGCCTAGCTGCCATGCCCAGGAAGGAGGAACGAGGGCCGGGATACTGCCAGGTCGCTCAAGCCTAGACAGGGGAAGTCGAGAGGCAAAGGTCGGGTTCGAACCACGGACCTTCCGATCAGTAAATTCGTGCTCTAACCATTTGGTCCAGTATTTAAACGAAAAATCTAAATGGGGTCGTAGGTTCATAACAATTGTACAATTTCCAAGGCACGCACGATGTAGGTAAGCACAGAATGGGGAAAAATCCTGTTTACACCTCAGGATAAGTGGTATCCAGAACTTGAGAGCATGCGATGCGATCAGTCCCACTTAGGTGAAACTTGATCGAACCCAAGGGAGTCACTCGTGAAAATTCTGAAATAGCTGTCTGTTATATTGCTATGAAGATCCTGGAAATGCCAACATGACTGACAATGAGAAACGAGGGCAGATGCGATAGTGAAACTACCCACCATGAATAATATGAAAATTCACTTAAAAAACTTTAGAAAACTGATGGAACCATACGAAAACAAAACCCGGTATGCGGATGTCCTGCAAAAGTATGGTCTATACAAATATTTGCGCACCAATTGGGTTTCGAAGGAAGACTCAACAGAATCCCAGCTCGTTTATCGCGTTGCTTTTCGACTGAACGTGCTGTGCAAGTGCCCCGGTAACGATTCAATTCGTACGTTATTCGAGGTAAGGGAGTACGTTTTCTTGAAGCAACACTAGTCTTAAAGTTGCTGAAAACTGTTCGACCGGTTTCGCCCCCCTTCGCTTCCATCTGGTAAGCGCGATTTGGACGAAATCAGTCTTGGGCTCATGAAGAGTTTTAGGCAATTTTAAGAATAGAGTTCCGCCAAAAACTATTACAATATCTCGGATATTGCACCGAGACATGAGGTGTCATTTTGTGCAGCACACTCCTTTGTCTCCCAAGAAAACCAAACTGGAATGCAAATGAATGGGTTTCGCTTGCAAATTATGTATAATTTGGGTTCACATGAAAGATAAGGCTGTCGGAAACTCGGAGAGTACGCCTAGCTGAGGAGGCCAAAGTAGAATGGTGAAACCGGGTTATTCAAGAGATCTTAGCAACTTTATGGGTAGCGTTCCCGTTATTTCTGCTGATTCACCGATCTGTGGTATCTGCTGCTGACCCGCTGCACTGCCTAATGCCAAAAAAAAGACTCACAGAAGGGAACACAACAGCTATATTCTGAACAAGCGAGCGCAAAAGTACAGCGGTCTCAAGCTATTTATTGGAGGGACACTGTCTGAACTTGGTCAAATGCTGACGCACACGATCCGGCTTTGGTACGAGACTGCGACGCGCTGCATATTGAGGGGGCGTTGTCCGTCTGGTCGGCACCTGGCGGAGCTGAGGGTCTCAGTAGATTTCGGGCATTCAGTGGTTGCTTTCAGGAATCTGACATTCCTGATAGTTCCTCTAAGAAATTTCGAGGACCGTCAGGTCACCAATATGCTTATTTACTTGCATTCTGGTAGGAAAATTCACCTCCAGTTGTCTAAATCCAAGACACTGCACTGCTTTTACATCAGCCACTCACACAGGCGAATGACCGCAATCATATCATGACATCAAACCAACCAGCATCGGACAGCACTGACACTGAACGGCAAAGTTAGATGATTTAGGCTGACCACCTCCATGTTTTTGAGCAGCCCTCAGTCCTAGGCCTGTCGCCGAAGTGGCATACAGGCAGGCGAAAAGCCCGTTGTCCAGTTCAACGTATCGTCTTATCAATTTAACCTGCTAGGGCTGCATTTTCATCACTCAGTGGTTGTCAGAATTATGCAGGACATTACCGGTCCGGTTCGCCGATCACAGACGCTGGCTGAACTGCAACCACGTTGTGACATGAGTTTGACTAAAGCAATAAACTAACAAATCAGAATGCCGAGCATATTACAGCCGGTCAGTACTAAGTTTTTGTGAGTTTCAGAAAACTGCTGGTCCTGCGTCTTTTGCCATTGAAGCACGGATTAGGTTGCGCTGAATTTCTATCATAGGGTGGAAACTTCATCCAGACCAAGCTTTCTAATATGAATATGTACATAGAAGCAACAACGGAAGCAATGCATCAGCTAAGATGAAACATGGATCTTCAAAGTGAAACGGAAGCGTACGAATTTAGTGGGCATTAATATGAAGCCTATGCATCTTAAAACCACATTGAATATGCTTCCTACCTAAAAAGTTTACGTTGCCCTTTTTTGGCTTCAATGGCTGCGATCGGCTCTGGCAGTGCAGTTAACAGCAACGCCTCGCGAGTAAATTAGTATTCTGATGCTATTGGTTATTTATCTTTCGGATCGATTCCCGAAATACTTGCAACTTCATCATCCGAAACCTGAATTTAGTTTTCTGATGAATATGTCTGGCATGGTACTCAAAAAATGGAATGTTCGAAGTGGCTGAGCACCAGCCGGATTAAATAGACAGAAAGAGCTTCCAATTAAGTAGAGGTTGCTCTTTCACTGTTCGTCTTTGCAATACGGTTTCCACAGTAAATCCCAACGGTGTTCCCATCAGTTGTTCATGGCACTCCCCGTTGGATTCAGAATATGTGATCAGGCATAAGCCGAGCATATTGCCCCAAGTAAGAACGAAGAAAGGACGTGATTCATGGGAGCTTGGTAGTTCACTGAAAAAGCCACCGACAAAAGCATCCAAATCTACCACTGAGAGTACAAGAACTGCAGAATTACAGAACGTAAAGCCGCACGATAAACCGGGGTAGTGGATATGTATAAAAGAAGCATGCAAGCAAAAACAAAAAATTCGGATATTAATCCACTTTTTTAGACCAGCATCGAGCCGACAAATAGAAGAATGATAAAAAACGACTCAACAAAAAAGGGTATTCAATTGACCATCCAAGCACAACCAAATCAATCAACATAAAGGGAAACTCCAAGCGGGGAAGTACAACCGGCCAATCAAACTCAAGAAGATACAAACTAAGAACGAACAAATCAGACCGGAGGAAAGGAGTTACCAGTAATAAAAGCCACCACAATGACCAGCCAAATTAAAAAAGAGAAAAACTATGACGCAATACAAACCCGGAACAGATCAATCGGAAGGCGGACCCTAGTCCCTTATAGGGGCTATCTAATAAACGAATGGAATACGACACATGCAGACCACAAGGCAGCACAAACCGGGAACGAGTCAATAAGCTCAAGTCTGCTGCTGATTCGCTCTGGTTTTGCAAGCGGTGATCTGCAGCTGAAATTTAGTAATCTAATGATCTGTAGTCTTTGTTTAAATCAGTGTTCACTTATATCCTCTTAGGTTAGTTTAGCTGCGGAAAACAAACATGGTGACAAGGCTCGTGTTCGTGTGGCCACTAGGAAGTCTAAAACCATGATAGTTAACAACACTGTGCTTACACACTTTCCCAGCTCCACACATGACGTTGTAGGTCACTTCAGGTTCGCAAATGTGTAAGCACAAATTATCATGCAGTTGCCAAATGTTTAGCTGATTCGGAGGCAAATACGCAACTTAAGCTTCAGAGCTGCTTTTCAATTTTCGGGGTTGTAACTGAATGACATTATTGTGGCCTCTCTTTGTAAACGTATCATTTCCGGACAGACGTCAACAGGACTCCCGCAAATGTGATTCGTGCTCAGCAGTATACTGCATGTAGAGGAAAAAATCACAGAAACATGTTGGCCAGTTGGACCTTGATGGCAGCTGTTTTCACGAGCAAACTCATCGGCATTTAAATTGTCCCGGAAAGAACGGATGTCATGACTATTAAAAAACAGTAAAGCGCATTCACTAATTAGTTGCGTGTGTCAAACCGAATGGTGGGTAATAGGATTTCCGTGATATCGATCAGTGAAGGAAAACTGACCACGAAAAATAAAGATATGCCGATGAGAAAACCATCTGCTCAGGACAGTTTTATGGTTTTATGGTCTTCAAAAGCAGGATGTGACCCGGCATACTTAGCTCAAAAAATCTGTTCTGAGGAAACCGAGAAGCACAACTGATACTGGATTTACGAAGAAACTCACCTGGATATCCTACGCGGGGGGCATCCATTCAACAGTACCAAAAAAACAACTGTATAGTAAAATACATAAAATAAAATAATAAAATACAATGGATACCACTGACAGAATGACACATCAGTTAACAGAGCCTTTAACAGTGGAAGGCTTTGAGTTTTCCTCCATGGTGCGCCCCTGGTCGACCTAATCCTAAAGATGTCCTTGTTGAACAGGCTAACGATTGTTTTCAGCGTGTCATGTGACTCATGTTTGTACATGAGAAAGGAAGGGGATAAACACGAACACGTGGGTTCATTAGCAATGTTCTTACTGCTGCTTGATAATCTTCTCACCCGTGGGATCGTACTGATACTTTCATGCGGAGGCATGCACTTCCTTTCAGACTGGATCTTTAGCGCAGTGTTACGCTACGCAAGTTCTACCGGTTTGGAAAGTGCTTCATCATGACGACCCCTGTAGTCTTACAGTCCCACAAACCGGCTTTTCAACAAAGAACAAAGTATATTCCCTAACATACCCGCCTTCAATGTCCTAAACTGATTCAGTCATCGAAAATAGGCAAGAGATATTTTAGTCACGTACTGAAACCTTTTACTCCTTTGATGTTTTTGGGGCTTTTCCCTCAACCTTCCTAACCAAGGTTTCAATCAAATCTAATGTTTCCACTGAATAAATATGACCAGCATATTCGTGGCACACCTAGAGACGGCTCTGGCACCCAGCTGAAAGAAGTGAGGAAATGATATTCGGGAAACGTACCGGAGGGATCGCCCTGTGTTTACGCTATGACATTCTGGCGGCTGAAAAGTAAAATAAACGCGAAATGTTTAGCCGTAAGTCTGAGTGATGCCATTCGGTAGTCATTTCACATACTCTATGAGCCGTTCCCGTGATAGTACTGAGATGGATGGGATATATGGAACGGAGTCGCAATCAAATTTAGAAACGAACGCTTAGCTAAAGATTGACGGGCGGGACCCCATGTAAAAGCATCACGATAACCATCAATACCAGGCGAGTTCGTACAATATTCGTAGGTTACCTGTTGTATATTGGTCTCGCCTTATTTAACGACAAATAGCACATTTTTATGCACTATCATCCCTAGCTATGCAAACTCACTCCCCAATATAAAAGTCAAACGTCAAATCTAATTCAGCAATAAGGATGTAAACATGTGAATGAGGAATGAGAAGTTGTTTTTTCACCATCTTCCCGAAAGTCATTGGAAGACATTTGCGATGTATCACCTGTCTCCAATTTTTGTCATTATTAGACTTACTATTTTATCTTATCCGGACATGCCAGATGAAGTACTTATTGACACTTATCATGTGTTAGGTAGTTATTTTATAAGATACTTTTCTGATATACCGATAGTTTGTAATGTTTCTACATGATTTGGGTTCATGAATTGCCGACAAACTAGTAGCTCTCAACCACATAAGCACTGTTAGGTCACCTGTCTTCCGCAGTCAACAACAGATCAACAGCCAATTACTTTAAGGTAAGCTAGAACTTTCGTTGCAAAGTGAACTAGTTCAGCCGTGTGATTGAGCATTCTTGTGGTTATCTTTCGCGGTGAAATTTTGATGTCATTCGTATTGCTCACAATCCTACTCAAAGTATGCAAATCTTTACGCCGCAGATCTTTAAAAGTTGCACTCGGGATGCGACAGACCAATGTATGTATCTCGAACGGTGCTCCAAAAATGGGGCGTCTGGGACAGCTGAATAGTATTATGCCAATACAAGGTAGCTTCAGAACAAAAAATGGAAGATAATGGTAGAAGAGGAAAGGCCAGCAGCAATTCTACAGCAAAAAGTGAACAAGCTGTGCAGGTGAAAATGACAGAACACAGAGTGAAGTTAGGTCATGAAAGATGCACTAGACATGTTTTAGGAGGCGACGAGTTCCAAATCCAACACCTCGAACTTGACTTGCATTCGTGTTGTGCTGTATGCTAAACCGGTAAGGTGATATATCAGCGATGGAAAATTCAATGATGTGCTCCGTCTCCAACTGTGAGCTACCCAGTGAAGGCATATGCGAGTTGGGTGAATTCACCAAAACCAGAATTTGCATTATTTTTTCGTGTAACTGATCCGCAAGTTCTTGCCGGTGCTCATCGCGCTCTGAAAAAGAGAGCATTGGGACAAATACTACAATAGTAAATATTGACAACTGAAGCCATAAGTACCTGAGATACCCACAGTTTTAGAGATGTATGGATTTTCCTAAAGAAATGAAGGATACTAGGGGTGAGTACCCTCATTATGCCCCAGCTGCGGAGGAGGAAGCGTACAGCTTCTACGATCAAATGGCTACTATTTCAAATTTTAAAAAGCTGTTGTGAATGCAATTAGACTAAAATGGGATCGATGGTGAAAGTGATTCAGTGAAGATGAGCGAACAATATGCAAGCCGAGTGAATCGATGATTTTAGAATTTATGAAACAATCAAGAACTTGGCAGATACAACAGGTGCAAAGCATTTCAGAAGTGAGAATTAAAATTCTGAAAGCAAATGAGTCGTAGATAGAATGAAGTGAAGGGGCATAGTTGCATACGGATCACCGTTGTCATGAGAAAATCTTTGCGAAACTCCAATACATTGATGAACCGAAAATTCAGTGGACTCGGTTTGTTCGTCAGCCGAACGAACAGAAAAACCGATAGCGGGGAACATAAGAAAACATTAGTTTTTAACCATTAGGGGGATATTTGATCCCCAATAATCCCCTAAAAATGGTGTTTTAAACAAGTGCTCGCTATGAGGTTACCGTTGGGTTTCCTATTTATATGCTTTTCCAGGGTATGTATGCCTCCTTGGAAGTTCGGGTGTGCAAAGTTGAGTAAGATAAATAAAATAGTTACTCAGCTGTAACATCCTTCTGGTACCTAGCTGTCATGCCACCCGAATGAAGCACGAGGACTGGGTACTACCATGCCACCCCAATGAAGCACGAGGACTGGGTACTACCAGGCTGCCCAAGTCTAGACAGGAGTAGTCTCGATGCGGGGGTTGGGTTCGAAACACGGTCCTTCTGGTCAGCAATTTCCTAAACGTCAGCTGTCTCCAGCTAAATAGGACATTCCAGCTGGGTAATCCTGGGTGGTAAACCATATGTCTGACTTTTATCAACTTCAGTACGCATGTACGTGTGGTGACGTTGAAGACAGGAGAAAACTAGTTGGTGCGCATAAAACAAGCATTTTAACAATTAACGAAGATTCCCGTCACGTGTGACTAACAATCCATGCGTTCGATTTTGATAAAATGGCGTCCACCGCAAGGCCAGTTGGCCTTTTTCTGGAGATCGTCTTTACAAGGGAGTTCGTAGAAAGTGAACAGAAGAAGGTGGAAAATAGAGAAACGATCCTTATAAGGATGTGCTCTTCCAATCCGGAGATCCTATAAGGAAAGACTGTATATGAGAACCAGAAGTCGCCGCACTCTCCTAGGGCATCGAAATAGGGATAAGAAAGTTGACGAGACCATCAGGCTTCCAAAAGTTGTGTTAAGGTGAGACGGCTTGTCACCATCGTGTTGACCTGAAACTACCCGGTCATCTGGTTTAAAACTGGGACAACAGGATGAGCGAATGGATGTTCCGCTGGCACGGGACAACGCATACCTTCCAACTTTTGCCGCCTAAAGCTGTTCTCAATTGGAAATGAAACTCAGCTGTCGATTGAGTATCCAGCCAGTTTCCTGGACGAAGAGCTTGTAGACTGCCGATAGTCTATAGCATGCGCTACAACCCTGACCTCTCAGTCAGGCTCCAGGAGAGCAACTGAAATAGTGTAGTAACAGAAATGTATGTTTGGTGATCTCATCAGAAATTCCCACAGATTCCAAAGCACTGGGGATTTTCATGCCAACAATGCCCGCCTTTGTAAGCACCGACAAATCTAACAGGGGCCGCTTTCTAAACTGTACCTCAAAATAAGGCCCAGTAGGCCGAAAACCACTCTGTCAGTGAAGCAGCTTCGAACAACTAGAGTGAACGGGAATGACCGAAAGTTAGGAAGTATAGCTGCACAGTTTAGTTAGCAAAACACAGAGTAAACGTCATAAAAGTGCGGTATCTCCGTTGACCTGCTGGAATGGCATGACCTATAAACGAAGAGCACTTGTTTAGGGGAGCTAACACACAAACACCGGGATGAACGAAAGTTCTTCCTGATGGCGCATTAAAACTCGGAGAGCCCATTACAAGCAAGGAATTCAGTTGAGTTCCCCGAGGACACCAGGTTAGTTTGCAAGCAGTCTGCGTCAGTCTGTGATGCGTTTTACGTCGCAAGATGAAGCACGTGCTGATACTTGGGTACTTTCAAAAAAAATCAATTCGCATCAGAGATCCAAATGTAAAACTTTGAAGCAAACAGTAGATGGCTATTTAGAGTTTGAAAAAACTTCATGGCATAAGCCCTCGCCTGCCACATGCTGGCGTAAACGAAGCGTTTGTCAGTAGATACTGGAAAGTTACAAGTTGGTCAACATTTTCAATGCTGATGAGATGGATATACTTTTCGGTGCGCATTACTCTTGCCATCGGCGAAGACGACTGCATCATAATGAGGTATCCTAAGGAAAGAACCACCGATATTGCCTTTTGTACGATGTCAAGATGTGCGTTACTGTCTTCAGTGGTTGGAAAACGGAAACGGGTTCAGAATGGAGTGGGAAACAATAAACGAGCCCGAGAAACTAGTGGAAGGGCGGTGGCGAGAATCAAAATGGAAAAATGATAAAATCGTGCACCTCCATGGTATAAAAACTGTTCAGCTGTAACTCTTTATGTGCCTAGCTGCCATGTCCCCCGAGGGAAGCACGACGGCTGGGATACTGCCAGGTTGCCCAAGCCTAGATAGGTGAAGTCGAGGGGCAGAGGTCGGGTTCGAAACACGGACCTTCCGGTCAGTAAATTCGAGCTTTAACCACTTGAACCATCTCGCCCACTTCCATGGTAGCTAGAATAAGGATTAATAAAGCACCAATATGCCTTTCTTCCTAGTAATCTAAGACATTAATAGTGTGTCCAAGCCAGGTTCTTGGGCTGTCGAAGAGTTTTCAGCAACCTTGGGAGTAGTTTCCTTTGTGAAAATATACTGCGATATCTCGAATATCGTGCCAACTGAATCATGAGGCAGCCTGTGTGCAGCACATTCAGCTGGAGGACATCATAAACGAGAGATTCAATTGAGTCTCCCGTGAAAACCAAATTGATTTGCAAATGAGTGTATTTCTCGAAAACAGTCCAATTTGGGTTCAAGTAGATCATAAGGTTGACGGAAACTCGGGGACTGCGCCTACCTGATGAGCCCCAAGAAGGGCGAAACCGGTCGTGGGCTGTCGAAAAGTTTTCAGCAACCTTGTGAGTAGTTTCCCTTATGAAGCCAGGTTCTTGTTTGATGTTCCAACTAGGGTTAAATCGGTCATTTCCATCAGATTGAAAAAAAAACTGCACAGTTTTCCATAGAAGTACACGCACACTTTGGCAAATTCAGCCAATAATAGATCAAACTTCTCGCTATACAAATAAAGAAAACTGAATGGCACTAAAATGCATCTCACCAATTGAAATGTAACATGAGAACGCAATGAAACTTCAAGCGCTGCTGTGTTGGTTTAAGCTCACCGCAGCCGAACTTAACGACCGACTTGAGCTCGTTTAATTGCCTGACACTAGATCTACAAGCAAGAGTCACGCTAAACAATTAGATTAATCCATCGATTCCTTATATAAATCATCACTGCTCAAATCTCGACAAGGGAAACGAAAAGGGTCGTGGGCAGATACCGTTGGGGTTGTCTCCGAGCCTTACTCGACTTAGCTTTCATGTACCCAGTTCATCAAGCGGATCGAAAGCCGTAAAGATGAAATAGCAGTTTGCTGATTGATGCGCTTGGGAGCTAACGAATGAACACTGGCTGAACTAAAATTTTCAGTCTTTATTACTGACTGTTGACTTGGAACCGCAGGAGTATACCTGATTCGCGGAAATACCCTCATTCGAGAAGTCTTACAAAAAGTTCGGCATGTTGTCTGATTCCTACAGGTAACGAAACCATTCAGACCGTGAAACTCAAACCAGGTATACGAGTTAATGTCTTACGCGACTATCGATGTGTGTGGCTATTTAACTTGATCACTCTTCAACTGTAAAGACAAGGAGGCGGTCCTGCAGACATGAAGAACTTCATTTGAGTAGACTAATGAACTTGGGGTTGTACAAAACCCTTCGACAGCCCATTACCGGTTTCGCCCTTCTTGGGGCTCATCTGGTAGGCGCAGTCCCCGAGTTTCCGCCAATCTTATGTTCTACTTGAGCCCAAATTGGACAAATCTCGAAAAATACGGTCATTTGTATATCAACTGGGTTTTCAGGGGAGAAAAATGAATTTCTGGTTTGTACTCTTCTTCAACTGAATACGCTGCCGCCTCATGTTTCATTTGGTACGATATTCGAGATATCGCCACGCATTTTCATACAGGAGTTTTCTGAGAACTATTCGGCAGTTGAAAAACACAGTTGAGCCTCACGTGAAAACCCAGTTGATATACAAATGACTGTATCTGTTGAGACCTATTCAATTTTGGACCAAGTAGAACATAAGGTTGACGGAAAGTCGGGGACTGTGCCTACCAGCTGAGCCCCAAAGAAGGGCGAAACCTGTAATGGGTTATCGAAGGGTTTTCAGCAACCTTACGAACAGTGTGTTACGTCGAAACTACAACGTATTGCCCTATCCCGAATATCGTACCAACTGGAACATGAAACGGTCTGGTGCAGCCCATTCCAGCTGATGCGAACCATCATAAACGAGAGCCACAGCTGAATTCAGCTAAGCCTCCTATCAAAACCAAATTTGTGTGCAAATGAGAGAATTTGTCGAAACCTAGGAACCAACTAAAATGGGCGACGTGGGTTAGCGACTCCATGGGAGTGGATCGAATACAGAAATATCCGGAATGAAGTGAGTACTTAAATTTGGAGCAATTTAACGCGCGTTACCTCCTGTAGTATACATTGCGCGTCGAATTTACGGCGTCAGGATCGTTGGTACTGACCTTTTGATTTGGGAAACTCAGTTCAAGTCAGGCGGTCCTAACCCAGCTCTGTGTAAATATCTTCGGTTAGGACGTCGAACCAGAATCTAATCAACAGGTATTGTACGTGCGTCTTTCGTCAGGTTTCATGACTAGTAATAAAATTAATGTAGAGATGGCTGAATAACGTTAATTGAACAAACGCCAGCACTACAACAAATTAAATAAAAATAGACCCAGAGACCCAGGTTTTCTTACCGCCAGGACTGACAGCTTTGATCCTCAAGTTTATTGTCCACCGTTCCCAAACGGAAGGTTCTGATCCCAGTCCCCAAGTACCTTTGCGCTGTATGGCGAACTCCAGGCTGATCGAACCACATGCACCGCCACCGGGGGAGACATCTGCCCGCAAACTGTCGCCAAAGGAGTGGGTTGGACCGACCACCCTATTAATAAGCTGGTCAGAATTTACACAAACCTAGACGAAAAACAGAAAGGCATGAATGATTGAAAAAAAATGACTGAGATAAATTAAGATTCACCTTACAAGTACGGACAGGGAGCTTATTATATCGAAATCGCCATTAGTTAACTCGAGACCAAACTCATTTGCAGAGTGGGATATTCATTGTTTGTATCAAAAATTGACAAGCTGAGATGAAAAATAACGGAGTTGCACATATCAACTTGATTCTTTCGGATGTCATTTGAAATTTCATCCAGTTTCTTCAAAACTTTCAACAAAACTACATAAAAAAATTCAATTGCAGAAAACCTGCTCAAAAGATTGACGGCCCGATCTCCGCCCCGCTTTTAATCAAATGCTTTTATTCCTACAGCATTTAGTTTGGCCCTTCAGGTTGGTTTAGCATCAACCGTCTCTACCCAGAAGAGGAACGAGAAAATTCCGAATAGGGACAGCTCGTTCGAACTAGTGAACCCAAAATCAGTCAGCTATGCCGAAATTCGCCAAAAAATTTACACGTGTTTTGGACTTTCGTCGATTGGCTTAGGTACATGTTGAGAGCAAGGCGCACTGCTCAGGAATTAGGCCTCTTGATCAGCAATAAAAAAATGGGCTTCTGTCAGTAAAATGAAACGGAAGGAGACAACGCTCTGGTCCTGTCATAAGCATGTACCTCGATGATAATATACTAAGCATGCTGCCAAGCAACCCTTTTGCAACAGTATCCACTGTGCAGTTCTGACGCCGCACAATTCATTTGTGTTCAGATGGTTGAAACTTGGCAATTTCCTAACCTGTATAGTAGGTAACGGTCACTTGCAAACACTTTATTGACATGTACACAAACGCCTACTCGATGGACCTACAGAAAATGATGTAGAGATTACCGAGGGTACCACCGCAATGGTACAGAATGGAGAAGACTGGTTAGTATTTCTCAGTTCGAAGAGCAGGGGATGGTCCGCAGCGTAAATTTGTGCCAGGATACGCCTGCTAACTGAGGGTTGCATTTCACAGTGTTCGATCACGACAAAAAAATCGTTCGGCTGTAACACCCTTCCGGTGCCTAGCTGCCATGCCACCCGGAGGAAGCACGAGGGCTGGGATACTGCCAGGTTGCCCAAGCCTAGACAGGGGAAGTCGAGTGCCAGGTGTCGGGTTCCAACCACGGACCTTCCGGTAAATTCGCGCTCTAACCACTTGGGCCATCTCGATCACGACAGAATAGATACTAATTCATATACACAGAAAGTTTGGTCGGAGTATATTGCTTACAGCATTCTCTCATCATCATTGACAGAAACAGTAGATGAGAACACCAGTGCTTCACTGCCGTACAACCTTCCGAGGAGAAGAGCATCAACATATGGAGCAAACGAAGGCTGTACGCACGTGAGAAGTCAGTATAGCAGCTCACGTGAGTGCACTTTGAAGGTACTAAACGTATGCGAACCATGGGATACCCTGTTTAGGGTAGATTGTGCAGACAAATAAATAATAATACCATCCGTATGACCAAAGCTAATAAGCGATTTTCAAACTTTGATTCTTGGTTACGCGGAGCATACACCCCATGACAACGTCGACGAAAGAATTGGATAGAAAACAGATAGGATAACCCTGATGGACTTTACTAGTTTCGGGAAGCCTTTGGACAGTTCACCATACATCGTAACTTGACCAAAGGTTTGGGGATGAAGGGAACGAAATTCGCGCCTTTCCTTCTTGTGATCAGTGTTGAACACGGTCGTCCATCACGGAATACCTCAGAAGACATGAATACTAAAGACAATAATGTCCGGTCTCTACTTTTTTCCCCAAATTCTCAGTCGGCTGCTCCTGCTTAGGCTTAGGCACCTTCACAGTACCTCAGCCCTCCTGCTTCGTTCGGGTGAAATGGGGGCTAGACACGGAAAGGGGGTTACAGATGACTGATTCTTTTGTAATTACTTGCCGAAGATAGGCACTGAAATATGAGAGAAGCCGCTAACTGTGTTATGACAGGCGAGACTTATACGCCTATGCTTGGGAAAATCGGTTGGACTAACTATCTTTAACATAAGTTTGACCAACGATTGGCCTCCATTATCTGATACACGTTCTTGCTCCCAAATACATGCAAAAAAACTTAGTCCCAGGTGAACACAAAAATCCCCGGCGTCTCTGAAAGACACTGTGGGGAGCTCATCTGGCACAACAAACCGATGGCGCTTTGCTGAGGAAGGCAACTTAGTACTTAATCAACTGAGGGAGCGTCTAAACTCACAAACCACGACTTAAAATGAGGTGACCGAGTAAAAGATATAAGCATCGGAGCAGTCACCTAAAATGTTGTTAAAAAACATTCCGCCCAGGAAGCTCATTTATTAGGTTTCCAGTATTGCCTGGATTAACTCACTTGCGGAAGGCCGTTTAGGTCCTGTTTCCCGGATTATCTGGACCAGCCTCCGTGCATTCCCAACCCCACTGAATTCCTCCATTTCTTCAATATTCTGGTTCCACCACGTCTGTCTGTCCCCAAGCAGGCTATGTTTACGCTATCGTGTAATCGAAATGAGCTAGGAGCCGAGAATGAAACAGCGTCTCGTGTCAGGGAATGGTAGTCGCCGTTCTGGGTTTCAGTGGGTTCCGTGAACACACCCGGAAACATAACAAAAAAGGTTTTGGAGAATAACTGTGTAACCTCATCCCAGTCACGGTCAACGTCCTCCAAGTAGTCCGCTCGTAGCACCCTATATAGCAAACTTTAATATGTTTCCTTAACTCGTGGCTCACAAAATTTTTCTACTGGGAAATGGGGGAGTGCCCTTGGGTTTACCAGGAAAAGTTAACGAAGACCTGCACCGAACGCAAGCGTGATCTGAATCAGCCTGTGTATTTTAAAATGATCGGCAGTTAAAAGCTGAATCACGCCATCGTTAGCTGATGCCAATGTGGTCAGTTTGACTGCACGGCTACTCAGCAGCATGAAGACGCCAGCTAATGCAACGGTACATACTGCGTCAAAACTCATTACTGCTGAGAAACGAATGATGATCAGTACAGTTACAAAATAAATTTACGACCATCGCGGCGTTTCGCGTTGACTAAACATACCAGCAAGTAATGATTCTCATGAACTGAAGCGCCTTAACTGTAAAGTGATTATATCTGAGCCCTTCGTGGTAAATAAAAGGGTGGCCAGTGAATCAACTGAATTTCGTTGGTGCATAGATGGCCACGACAAACAAAGAGCGTCCAGTAATTCAATTAGTGTGAGCTTTTTTCGAAGTGGAAAGTTGGGTCAAACGGGCAGTTGTTTCCGAGTATTCATAAGAACAATGAAGCCTCAGCTCGCGAACTTTGGGCTACACCGGCAAACCCCACTGGAGCAGCCACAGGTAGTTCGTAGCCGGTAGCGTCTAGATTTGAAGCTTAACAACTTTACTTTGATCGAGTTTCGGAAGTGCAGCAGGTTTCGGTAGACAAGGCCTCTTGCATAAGCAGCTTACTGTTCAAGAGTCCACACGCTTAATGTTGCAGTAAAGCGAGAGAAGGAACAATCAGTTGGAAAACGCTTGGAACCGACCGAGGAGTCATCGTTTTCAAGAATGTTCTGGAAACAATCGGCGGGTTTATTGCTAAGCAACATTTCGCTTTTGACACAAAAGCTTCGTTAGGCCAAGTGGCTAAGATACCAGGTCCTTCGGGATCTAAGGCAGAAGGAGAACCAGTCAGCTAAGTAAGACTAAAAATCGGTATCACGTCAGCTAACGGATTTTGCTTTTTAGGGTAAGTCAGCAAATGTTAGGGCCGATAAGGAACCTACATGGATTTGGGTTCAGCTTGAGGTCTAGTTCTTCCGGTTCGCTTCAGGTGATCTTGAACGTCGTTTACACCTTTTTCCGTTTGTGGATGAGCTAGTGCTACAATAGTAGGAAGAGGGGTTCTGTGAACTTTGGTCAGGTAAGGACTCCTACCTCTCCTTCGCTAATGTTTATTGATAACCGTTATCTGTTTCTTTGGCTCATCTAAGACCGCTCACTACGCACTCGCCAGTTCCAGACGTCCTCCGCTCTTATTACTTTTTTGCTCACTGCGAAGTCAAGTCACTTTTCCAACATACAATGCTCGTCCTTAATCAGTAGTCTATCTGACAAATTAACTTCGTTACGGTAATTGGTGGATAGTCTCATTTTTTGTGACCTTACTAGAGCATTGAGTCAAGGAAAGCAGTTGTTCCAACTTATTATCTGTCTATACTTTCACTGCCGGCCCTGCATAAGTTTCACCTTAGTGGCTTTGGAATTTAGCACCTGGAAGTCAGCAAGAGAGACTGCGATTCGAAGATCGTGGCTGAGTCGACTGGCATGGCGGCGCATATCGGTTAATCGCTGGATGGCTAAGTAAATTTTCTGTTAGTGTCAAAAGCGAAACGTTATCCAGCAATAACTCTAACGATTGTTTCCCCATTTTTTTCCGAAAACGAGAACATGGAGCAACATATACGGGCGGCGGCGTGCGACATTTTAATCAGCTAAGTGCCTCTGATGGACGTGTCAACAACTGGGATCTACGAAAGAGTGATCATCAAATAAGGTGGAAGGAAAGTTAAAAGAGAATAGTGAAAAAAAGATGGGTGTCAACGATTACATGTTTCCGGTTATCCACCCTCATCTATATGGCGAATAATGCGACCCGAGGGACATCAACACGCCATGACGGACGTTGCAGGAAAGCACTCTTACTTGTGAAGTCCATGGTTGTAGGTCAGACATCGGCAGAGTGCTCAAAATTAGACAGGATAACGAATGAAAATCCAACCAAAACCGGCGGTACAAAGCCTAACTGCAAGGAAGCGGTGGTTGGTGTAAGACTATCACCGTAGTTTAACTTTCCTGGAAAAGGTTGCCACACTTGTTTCGATTCCAAACCTGGAGAATTAGTAGACTGTCCCTCTGTGAACCAACCAACTTGGTACGAGAGACTGCAGATACCAAAGTAGCATCCTGCAATACAGTTTGTCGGGTCGC